AAATTGTAATATAAGAATTTTATTAGATAGTGCCTTCAGGCACGGGCAATCTCTAGTATAGAAATAACTCAGAATTAAACAACATACATAAACTACTTAAAAGCGACTCGCCTTTTAGTCTTTTACAAACCAATGCAATTAGTAATTTTTTTATTTATTTTTGGATGAGCAAAGAAGAGATTTTATTGATGTATAGAAGCATGATTAACACCACCAAATAGAAGCACGATTAAACAACATACATAAACCCTTTCCCCACCAAATTAACACAATTAAAAAAAGCAAGATAGAATTTAAATTAATCAAAATTACAGAGACCAAATCAGCATAAAGAAAAAATTACAATGACCAATGGCGTAATTCTCTCTTATTTCTTTTAATTTATAATTGTCAACTTATTATCCTAAAGGAGCATTACACAAGCAGTAGCCTTTTTGGTAACATTTGTTTTTTTATAAGACTTACAATGTCAGTAAATGTTAGGTAAGTTGTTGAAAACATTGTTGTATTGTATCCCATTGCATTTCAAAAGTTATTTGCCCAAAACAAAGGAAGAGGAATTGGAGAGATTCCAATTCAAAGGTGAACAATACACTCTGGCAATAATAGATAGCCAAAAACCCCAACAATAGCTGACAACCAAAAATTCCAACAGAACAAAAACAGCCAGCCCAACCCAGCTATCTGAGTTGCATGAGCCAGCAGCCAAACCAACCCAGACCCAAAGTTGAACAATACACAGTGGGAGCTGAAACATGTCCATCTGTCATCCAAACCAACCCAGGAAGGTATTTGAAGTTTATAGATGCTTACTTCTAGTAGAGTCATGCCATTTTTTTGTAATAAACAAACCAAAAAAATAAATAAATAAATAAAATACATGTTCTTTCAATTATTGGTTCATTGATGAAACTCATTTACTCATTTCACATAAATTAAAACCCTACAGCATATAAAAAAAAATAAAAAATAAAAAAACCCGTAGAGAACAATGGTAATACCATCTTGATCACTGAAAACAACTCAAGATAACCCAGCAGCACAAACCCATGAAATGGACAGCTCAAGAATACCCAACTGTCGATTCAGTTAAAAAATGGAACAACCTCTCAGACCCATTCAAACAAACACTTAATGGGTGTGAAGCCCTGAAAAAGAAGATTAGAATAAGAGAAAGAGAAGCAATGGGTCCGGAGACAAAAATAAATAAATAAAATACATGTTCTCAATTATTGGTTCATTAATGAAACCCATTTACTCATTTCACATAAATTAAAATCCATTTACTCATTTACACATTTCACATAAATAAAAACCCTACAGACAGCCCCATAACTAACGGCCAAGGGTAGACGTGTCAAGCAATATAGAAGATTTTTTTTGTGAATCCTCTTTTTGCCTTGTAGTTTTCATAGTTGAGTTCAATTTTTCCATTGAGCTTCTTTGATGCATTTTGAACATGTTGGAACCCTTAGGGTGTTTTTAAAATAGTAATACAATATGGTACAAACTTATTTACCAAAAAAAATATTAATAAAATGTCATTCCGAGCCAAGTCTGTTGCATCAGATGGTCAATTAGCTATCATATATTACACTGGAGAACAGCATCTGCTGTCTCTCCTAAAGTTTGTGCTGACTAAAAGGCATTCTACTGGTGGTCTTTTATTTCTTTGTAGTTGAGGTAATAATGCTATTGCCGTATATCTATTATAGATGTAGTGTAATAAGTTGCTTGTTGCTTTGATAATTGTTTCAGATATGTTGAAAATTTGCTGCCTAAGTCTGGATACGACTTGTATTGCTCATCAATAAATTGCATCTCTAGATTATGCTGGTCCATTTTCTCTTAGAAGTGGGAGTTGTTTCCTGACTACAGATAACTATATATCAATTATAGAATAAATAGATAACTTATGTTTAGTAAAATTTACCCAAATCTATATATCGTTTTCAATTTATAAGTTTAGTAAAAAAAAAAAAAAAAATAGGGTGGCTTCAACCAGATCATCATTTATTATGAATGAAAAATGAAGTACAATTCAGAAATTGAAATAGTTTCACAAACACACAACCAAATCAATTTCAATTAATCCATTGCCTAAAATGATCCCAGAACACAACAATTAAGAACAACTACAAAAGTAACATCACAAGTAATGAATAAATTAACTAATACTACCTGTAAACCTTTTTTAACAGAAACCTTATATTATATGAGTGGAAGAAAACTTTCCAACCCCCCCCCCAAAAAAAAAAAAACAATGATTCCCCCAATTGCAGAGTAAGTTCTGATCTTCCTATACAAATTTCTGAAAGGGAGAGAGTTTTAGAAGTAAACCCAAATTGACTACCAGAGTGATCTTAATACAATCTCTGCCAATTTATTTTTCTAGGTTTTCTTTCTCAAAACCCCCAAAAAGAGAAAAGAATTCGGAGGAAATGGTGGGGCAAAAAAAGGCAAAAGGGATGTAAAGGAAAGGAAAGAAGAATTGAAATCAAAGAGCGAGAACGGAAGAGGTAGAAAAAGGGAGAACTTACCTTGCGATGAAGAAGAAGAACGGGAGGGAGAGGGAACTTGGCACACTGAGTATGGAAGAAGAAGAACGGGAGGGAGAGAGAGATAAAGAGGGAATGGGGTGGGTGAGAACAGAGAAGTGAGAGGGATAAAGATAGAATGGAGGGGAGACATGGGCAAGCGGGGAGCTGAGAAGAGAGAGATAAAGAGAGAATAGAGAGAGACGTGGGTAAGTAGGAAGTTTACTCTTTCTTTGGGCGGGAAGTAAGTGTAGGTATCTATTGATATATATTTAAGGGTTATCTCAGTCATCTATGTAAATAGACAAATAAATATTTCTCATTCAAATGTCTTAGTAGGACAATTGTCTCTACTATAAATTTAAAAACTGTTCTATTTTATTATATAAATGTCACCGTTATAGGAAGCTTTTTTTGTTTTTAGCCAATGACAAAACCATCAATTCCATATTTACTCTTTCTTTGCTCCCTTCCAATTAATTCAGAAAAATCAGTATCTTTCTGAGTCAAAGAGTAGTCTGTTAGATATGATTAAATATTGAATGTAACAATAATATTATATGATAATATCTGTATCTATATAATATTGTTGATTTGTAATTAGAACTATAACATTGTAAGTTAGAGGGAGATCAAAGCTGATCACTTAATATAATTGTACTTTTTTTTTCTTTTTTTTTTTTTTCATAAACAAGTACTTTTTATGCTTTTGGTGATTGATCTTCTTGTGGTTATCATGGCCAATGACAAAACCACCGGCTCCATATTTTCTTTTTCTTCACTCTCTCCCAATTAATTCAGAAAAATCAGTATCTTTCTGGGTCAAAGGGGTTGTATTAACATGTAGATTTTGAATGGTGAAATTTTGTTCTATCAATTTTTCTCACGTAGGATTTGTTTTGAGAAAAAATAAACATAAAAATAAAGAGAATAGTGTGATAACTTGTATTGATTTTTTTTTTTTTATTTGCTGTTTTCTTCACTCTTTGTTTTTTTTTTTAATCAGTTACTTTCTTCACTCCCTAAGGCTTTATACTCAAATATAATTAGGACTATTACAAAAAAAAAAAAAAACTCACAGTTTGAACTTGTATTAAAATAAGAGAATCTTTTTTTTAAGGTTCCTGATATTAAGATTTTCTAAGATAAATGACATACAATATTTTTATAGTAGTTAAGGTCCCTTAATATTTTCACAGAGAAAATTCAACTCAAAAAAATTTTGCTCGACTCTGAGAAATTTTGCCCGATTCAAAGAAATTTCAATTTTTATAGAGAAATTTCTCTGATTTTACAGAGAAATTTTGAAATTTATTTGTGAAAATTAAAATTTTTTCAAGTCGGACAAAATTTCTTTAAGTCAAATTTTCTCTGTGAAAATATTGAGGGACCTTAATTAATAAAACAAAATCTAGAAACTCTCCTACTATACAAAGTTAGAGAGGGATGCTTCACTAATTTTTTTTTAAAATAAATCCTGAGCTTTTAATTTTGTCAATTTAAATCCTATACTTTTGACTTTTCTTTCAATCTAAACCATTTGTCTCTTTTCTTTAAATAAAATCGACAAAAAAAGAATATTTAGTCATTAAACTCCATGTAAAATTTATAAAATATCATTTTTTATGAGTACAATAACTAAAACACAAAATTTTCAATCGATTTTAATTAAGAAAAATAAAATAATTATTTAGAATGTGTGAAAATATTGAGGGACCTTAATTAATAAAACAAAATCTAGAAACTCTCCTACTATACAAAGTTAGAGAGTGATGTTTCACTAATTTTTTTTAAAAATAAATTCTGAGCTTTTAATTTTGTCAATTTAAATCCTATACTTTTGACTTTCTTTCAATCTAAACCATTTGTCTCTTTTCTTTAAATAAAATCGACAGAAAAAGAATATTTAGTCATTAAACTCCATGTAAAATTTATAAAATATCATTTTTTATGAGTACAATAACTAAAACACAAAATTTTCAATCGATTTTAATTAAGAAAAATAAAATAATTATTTAGAATGAAAATAAATTCAAAGTATAAAGTTTAAATTGACAAAATTAAAAAAATATAATTTATTTTATTACATGACTCAAATTCTAATTATTATTATTATTTTTTTTTTAATTTGGCCATTGCATTTTTCTCCATAAAATTATTACAGAATAACAGGATAATTACATTTTCTAAATTATAAACCAGCATAATTGATGTTTTTATTTAGATTGAAAGGAATACAAAGGAAAATATCAAACATAGTGCACAACGAGTACGACTGAACCATGCGAGAATATGATCAAAATAAAAAACCATGCGAGAATTTTACAAAAAAAACTAAAGGGAAAAAAGTAGCGATCCGGAAATTTTTTTTTTATGAAAATGATCATAAAAGATTTATAATCTTTAAATTATTTTAATTAGTGTGTAGTGTTTTATTTTAAATGTAATTTAAAGATCACAAAATTTTCATAAAATAATTTTTTATAATACCTAACATTACTTAAACTTAAAAGCAATATTCAAACCAATTAAACAAAACCACATATTTGACACACAAATTTAGCACATTACATACTACTCTGAGGCTGGAAAACCGGAAAACCGCCTCTCCTCGATCGTCACCGGAAAACCGCCTTTCATCTTCGATGTTAGATAAGTTATGAATTCCGGCTCCACTCCTTCCTCAAATGCCGGCACTACCCGGAAACGCCGCAAGACACCCGAAACAACCCTCTTCATCTGCAAGAACGCCATCTCCTTCCCCAAGCATATCCTCGGACCTGCCTGGAATACCGGATACTCGTATGCGTCCCTCGCCACGAAGTTCCGCTTTCCGGTGGCGGCATCTCTCTTTGCCAACCATCTCTCCGGGTGGAATTCTGCCCAGTCCGTCCCCCACAGCTTCTCTGACCTCCCCATTGCGTAAGGATGGTAAGCAACCCTCATACCTTTCTTCACAACCGTGCCATCCGGCAACACGTCATCATCCACCGCTTGTTTTCCGTCAACGGGGACTGGCGGGTAGAGTCTCATGCTCTCGCTCAGCGACGCGTGCGTGTAAACCATGTCCTTCACTTCCTCAAAACTCGCAGCTTCCGACTTCTCATTGATCTCTTTCAGAATCTCCTTTTCGACATCTGGGTGTCTTGAGACCAGCCAGAAGAACCATGTCAAGGCCGCCGATGTGGTGTCGCGACCCGCCAATATAAAGCTGATGACTATATCGGTGACGAAGATTTCATCTGAATGTCCAGAACTCAAGAATCGTGATAGAAGATCAACGGATTCAAGCGATGACTTTTCACCAAGTTCTTGCTTCTTTTCTTTGACGAGTTCTTTGGCGAACTCCCGAATTTCATTGACTGCAATTCGAAGCTGTTTCTCGGATCCAATGTCGAGAAATCGTTTAGTTTTCCAAAACAAGGGATGAATGTATTCGAATCTTTTGCTGCTGATTCGAACTGCTGTTTCGAAGGCTACTGCAAATTTTTCTTGCGGGAGAGATGGTAGCAAATAAGCAGGATCGTGTCCGAAAGCAATTTTGCATATGTTATCGAAGGCAAATCTCTGCAGAATGTCCTGCAGGTCCAACACAGTTTTGTTTGCAGCAGCGGCAGACAAGATGGGAATGAGGCGGTCTGAGAGCTCGATGTCCACAACAGTCTCTATAAATTTGCGTAAAGATTTGGTGTTGAATTCATGACTAGCAACTTGTCTCTGGAACTTCCAGTTCTCACCATCAGCATTAAAGATGCCATCGCCGAGTAGGTCCGAGATATTTGTTCGAAAGATATCACCCTTTTGGTAGTTATGGAAATGGGTCTTGAGGATGTGCTGGACATTAGAAGGATTGGCAGTGAAGACTTGGCGGCGGCCTAGAGGGCGGTTGAGGACAAAGGTGGAAGTGGGTATAGTAGTTATCACATCCGATGTCCATTGGATGAATCGGTTTCGATTAGGATAGAATGCGAAGAACGAGCCGATAAGTGGGAATGATGATGGAATCTTAGCGGACTTTGAGGTGGAGGAAGAAAAACTTGTGAAAATGGACTTGAAACTGACGAGGAACAAGAAGAGAAAGGAAAGAAAGCAAAAGACCAAAGAAGTTGAGAGCTCGAGCTTTAACATGGCTGCTGTGAATGTGATGTGCAGAAAAGGGGTTAATAGAGTCAATGGTTTTTCTTGCAATGAAAATTGGGGTACCATGTTGGAGTATTTATATGGAAAAAATTTATATAGACCACCACCTTCGATTGCGTCAGAATAATCAATTTTTATATTTTAAGTGAAACTTTCTTTGAAGGAATCTTTTGATTTTAATTTTTTATCATTTTGTATTAAAATATTCACATTTGTTATATACTGGGGCTGTTTGGGAAGTTTATTTTTTTGGTTTTTTTTATTAAGAGATAAATTGTTTATAAAATTAAAAAAAAATAAGAAAAATGTTTTGGAACTTTAATTTTTTAGCTTTAAAAATAGCTCTAATGAGTTAACAGTGGGTTCCACCCACAGTGATGTGATATTTTGGTCTTGATTTGTTTTTATTTTATTTTTTTTGTTCATTGTCATGTCATTAGTGCTCTATTAGAGCACCAAAATTAGTAGTCTAAATCATTGCTGAAAAAATAAATCTAAACAAATTATCACATCAAATCCCATAATCATTTCATTATTTCTCTTATAAAAATTACATCCAATTACAAAAAAATTTAATTATCTTTTTAAACACGGGAAAAAAAAATTTCAACAATATCTTACAAGTTACAACTAAAAACCTTATAAAAAAACTCATTTCCCAAACATCTTAGAAGTTATAATAATTGCAGTGAGTGTGAAGAAAAATGCTTAGGCCAAGTTTGGTAATCTAAAAATAATTTATCTTTTTATCTTTTTTTAATCACATCACCTCTCTACTTTTCTGCACATTTTTTCATAAAAAGACAAAAAATACACATATTTAGGTCATCCCAAACAACCTCCAAATACCTTCGAAGCATCATTCCTAAATTTATTTTTTCAATAATATATACAGCGGCGTGTTAATGAGGTTTGACATGGCTGCTATGAATGGTGGTGCTGAGAATAGACTATTTTAATTTTTTTTTAATATTTTAGTTTGATTAAAAAAATTATGTTTGAAATGATAGTTAAATTTTTTTTATTTTTTATTTTTTGTTTATAATTAATTTGATGATTGTGGGGATATATTTTCTGAATACCAACACGTGGCATGGTGACGCCGACGTGTCAGCCGAGGTGCCACGTGCCCTGGTAGTTAAGCCGAGGTAATCTCGGAGAAGCCGAGGTCATCTCCGAAGATATCGGAATCCGAGATAAGGGACAAGAGTCCTAAGGCAAAGAGGGGACTTAACCAAGATAAGGATAAAGCTTTTAGGGAGTTTATCTTTATCTCTTAAAGAGTCCAGAGTAAACAGTAAATTGGAGTTCATAGAAGTCATACTTCTAGTGGGACTTGGATTGAGTATATTATAAAAGAGAGGCACCCCCGTGGGTCTAAGGTATGTAATTTATATTTTGAGTATTCAGTTTAGTACTTGATTATCTTTGAAAGATATACTGACTTGATCGTCAGAGTGCCCCCGGGTGGATGAACCACCGCCAGAGCTTTTTCTTTCTATTACAGGTTGCTAAAGCCATCTATTCTGCCTGTGCTCTCCAGCTGATCACTAAACGGGCAGTGTGGTCAGATTTTCACCCACACAATTTGGCGCCGTCTGTGGGAACGAAGGAAGAATAGATGGCCAGTAACGGACAACAGGAAAAAACTGGGGATGACGCTCCTACTGGGAGCAGCAGACCAATTGATCTTGACATTGAAGGAGACAACCACAATACAGAAGCCCGTGACCAGGGTCACAGAGAGAACGACGTCATCCCAGAAGGCGACACGTCAAAAAAGACAAACCAGGGAAAGTACTACAATGAAGATAACCTCCAGGTATGAAGGGACCGGTGCCTACGAAGGGATGAGGAGGTAAAAGAACTGGCGAACAAGTTGTCGGACCTTCAGTCAGTCGTCAACTTCATGATGCAGAATAATGTTATGCAGCCACCCTACCCGCTGCAAGATACGCCGATGCCAGCAACCAACACCCAGAAGGGTGGAGGAAAAACAATCCTCGAGGTCCCTCAACATACTAGGAGCGGAAGGCACTCTCACCGGCCTTCCAGGGAAGTCGGACGGGAAAAGCCGAGGCAAGAAGAGTCCCGAAGGACGCACCACATGAAGAATCCAGACCTCAAAGAACATCGACATGTTCAGGGCCAAGTACTCCACTTTGACACAACCCATGAAGAAAGGTCCAAACGGACCCACCACGAGGCCGAAAGCAGTGTACCAAAAAGACTAAAATCCAAAGACAGCCGAGCTCCTGGGAGGAGCAAAGAAGACCTAAGGGACTACCTCAAAAGGAGGCAGCAGAATGCAGAAGCCGAGGTAAACTCCCCAGTAAAACCAAAGACAGCCTTCTCGGTGGAACTGGACAAATTCGAACCACCCAAGAGATTCAGTATGCCGAGGTTTCAAATCTATGATGGTAAGTCAGATCCAAACTTTCATGTTGGGCTATACCTAAATTCAAGGGCGTTGTATAGCGGGAACGAGCCGTTGCTCTGCAAAGTATTCCCCTCATCCTTTGGGGAAATTGAATCTGATTGGTTCCATAAGTTACCAAAAGGAAGCATAAAGACATGGGAAAG